GGGCAGACGGGCTGAATCATTGTTCTGGACTTGTTTGAGGCTTAAAATGTCAACATGGTTCAGCTCTGCTGTCCCAGTTAGCCAAGCATTAACCCAGACAGCCGGACTGACCACGGGTGTGTATGTGTGTGTGTGTGTGTGTGTTGTGGTCGCAGACAGCGAGCACAGCAGCGGGCCTATCTGCTAGATCTGCCCATGCCAGCGGATTTAAGCAGGATTTAGCGGCGTGCAATGCATTTGTTGTTCTTTCTGATCCCTCACGTTTTAACAAGACATCAGGGGCTGGGCCTCCCTCTCAATCCCTCTCTCTCTCTGTCTCTCTCTCTGTCTCTCCCTTCTTTTTCTCTCAGAGTGCAATCTCACCTTATCTACAGCCTCACATTTCATCATCACACACATCATTTCACCACTAAACAACTGACTCTTCAGACAGGCCCAGGGAAGGGGAGGACTCCTGTAAGAGACTGATAGAGTGTGTAAGTTCAGGCAGTGGGTGAGGGAGGGCCGCTTATGATCACCATCTCTCCTCCTCTGGTGTTAAACACAGGCAAACGTCCAGCCATTGTAAGTTACGATCGTTTTTTGTTGTATTTTAAAGTCCAGTTTTCTGAAGAAATAACCCCCCATGAATTATTGGATTAAAGCCTATTCCACATTCATGGCCATTGTTCTCGGACAGGCGCATTACCAAATAAATTACTTCATTCACAAAAGACTTAAACGCAACCAGAAATTTGCAAAACGGTCAAAATCCTGCCCCATTGACCCCCACTTTCTTTTCTCTTTGGGCTGCACATGATGTCATGAAAGCATGCGCGGGTAGGACCTCTCGTACGAGGCTTGGGAGCGGGTGAGACGTTATTTCCACGCTATTGTCTGGTGCTTATTGGGGGGGGGGGGGGCCGCCTAATTCAAGGGCCGATAAGAGAGAGAGAGAACGCGGGGTGTGCTTTGTCCTACCTCCCCTAGCAATTTGTGTTCAGGGTGTTCAGCAGCAACACCCTGCATGTGCACATGTGTGTGTGTGAATGAATGTACATGTGTTTTCATGCATGCATGCGTGTGTGTGTGTGTGGGAAGGGGGGGGGGGGGGGTGGTACACGTGCGTGTGTCTATGAAGACACGGACACAATCAGCCTCTAATTGGATCTACAAGATGCATCAGTGAGGCATAAACAAGTTTCCATGGCAACATTAGTCTTTGTTGCTGACCACCCCCCCCACATCTCAGCCCCCTCTATTTCTGCTCCCCAATCTCATTCCCTCTCGCTTTATCCTTCCCTCTCATTCACCTCTTCAACATTTCCCTCCCTCTGTTTTTCTCTC